ATTCATGTTATTCAGATTCTATTTGTGCCTGTAAATTTGAAAGAAAACTATAGGGAAGTGTTAAAAAAATAAAAAATGAATACTATTTCAGGATGTATATTTATTTTACATTGTGCTTAACTGTCAAACAACAAGGGAAACAAAATAGCCTTTAAATTATTAAAAAGAAAAGATTATAGTTAAATCTAAATTAACATCCTTATAATTAAACTTGTATTTTTGTCAAAATTCCTATTAGAAGAAAAAAAAAAACTACTCGGGCAGAATGCATACACATTAGACAATTTGGCACTGATGGCTGTCTTTTTTGTCTGACTTTACAGTTGATTTCAAACAGCATACAAAAGGATCAAGTGCATGGGAAAGGAAAAGACTGGAATGTGTACAATAAAAACAAACAACAACAAAATGAATTTTAGAAATAAAAGATACCAATAAAATAAATTTAACTTGCAGTTAAAGAAAGACAGATGTTAGATGAAGTCAGCCAGAAATTATATTCAGTTGATAATTACCTGAAAAGAAATAAAAAAATAAATTAAATTAAATTAAAAAGTAAAAATCAATATTTAAATTTATACTTCATATCTATGAGAATTTATATTATTATACTGTAACTATAGACAATAATGGGTATGTCCCAATCTGTATAAATACAGTGGAATATACTGTATGTGGGATTCACTTAAGATTCACATCTAGCTCACCACAAGCAGTTGATTACTTACTACACACCATTAGCATATCTTGTATATTTTTATAAATATTATCGTTCCATTTCCAACCTTCGTTTTGGTTATTCTTATTCAGTAACCTTCTCCTATGTTACAACAAATATAAACAAGATGTAACTTTTGAAGGGATTTTTTATCGAACATTAGTGGGTACACATATTTGAGTTGTTATCCCCCCCCCTTTTTTTTAAATTTTCTTAAACAGTGAAATTAATAACAACCGGCCTAGATGGAGAAGTCCTACTAAAGAAAGATTGTATCTACCGACTGGAATGGATAAAAAGTAATGTACCTTCAATTTCTGTCAGAGGCACAATTTTACATCTTTAAACTGGATCCCCACAAAACATGTGAACTTGATGGTATCCCTGCAACCGTCCTTAAGAAATGTACTCCTGAACTGGATATGGTTCTCTCTAAACTCTACAATAGATGATTTACTGCTGCTTGCATTCCTGCTTGTTGGAAATCCTTTTCTGTCGTTCCAGTTTTTAAGAACTCAGACAAACTGGCTGATCCTTCTATTAACCTTTTACCTCTTTTTGGCAAAGTACTAGTGTTCTAATAACATTAATTGGTTAAGTATCTCACCTCAAAGGGTATTCTTTCAGATAACTTCATTAGTTTAACTGCTGGTGTATTAACGATTATGGCTGAAAGAGTCTATCAGATAAAAATGGTTAGGCTGTTGCTTTGGATATCTCAAAGGCATTTAACAAGGTCTGGTATACTGGTTTTCTTTACAAATTGAAGATATTTCTGGATTATTTTTTGATCCAATTCTGGTTCCTTAAAGAACACATGGCTCAGTGGATAAAAGCGTGGGTTGAAGTAATCCAGTGACTTAAGCCAAAGAGTTGAGAGTTCAATACCTAGCCACAGCAGATGTGAACAAAAAACTTGTAGAGTTGAGTTCAAGGGAAATAACAGAAACCAAGATATCCGGAAGAGGCATGGCACATGGAACTAGAACAATCTACCCCAGTGGACAAAATAAAGGGTTCAGTTTGAAATTCCAATCACCTGAAGAAGGCTTGAGCATACAACAGCCAAAATGTCTTGAATATGGCAACAAAGATGAGGACAACAGTCCAAATAATGTAAATAGTGTAAATAATTAAAATACCTCTTCTTGGAAATATTGACAGATAGTTGTTTACTCCTGTCCTAATGCCAAGTTTATTAATATTACTTCCCTTTTACTACATTCTTTTTCAAGGCATCTCAATAGCATTATCCTTATTGTTAATTTAACTCAAAGTTGTTTTCTGTTGTCATAGCAGGATATGACAACATAACTATGAAATTCAAATTCAAGAATCAGAGTCAATTTCAGTGGCAGGATAAACTTTTTGTACAGCAAACGAAGTCTCATACAGAGTGATAAAGGTTAATCAGTTCAATAAGATCAAATTGACAGTTAATCTCAAAAATAACCTACAATCTATATTTGAATTTGAAATGGGTTTATCCCTGATATTTTGTGCTGTTTAAAAAAAAAAAGAAAAAAAAAAAAGGACAATATAATTTGTATATATTATCATTGTTAGAATTGCAAATATTAGGTGTGTGTGTGTGTGTGTGTGTATATATATATATATATATATATATATATATATATGCACCAGGGTAACACAAATAGTAAAATATTTGTTAAAACTTAACATATTAAAAGTGCTAAATACAAAGTTGAAAGACCAGACTTGCAGAGCTGTTTAAAAGGATGAAAGCTGACCATAGCACATGACTGCGGTTTTGACCTCTACAGTCTCCTCAGGTGAACCTGGTTAAAGTTAGATATCCCCCACCAACACACTACTTCTGGTTTTGAAAATAGTTAAGTTATTGAGGTCCGGGTAGTTGATTTGCTGAACAAACCACCTGTGGAGACCGTAGAGGTCAAAACCACAGTAGTGTGCTCTGGTCAGCTTTTATCCTTTTTAAATATTAAATTTGTTTTTATATATATATATATATATATATATATAAAACAAATTTAAATATATATATATATATATATATATATATATATATATATATATATATATATATATAAAAAACAAATTTTATAAAATATATAAAACAAATTTTAATATATATATATATATATATATATATATATATATATATATATATTATATATATACACAAACAAAATTTGTCACAAAACTACCTTGAAACTTAAGTCTTTTTTTAGTATCAGCTGTGGTAAAATTTCCAAACAGCTTCTTACCAAAATAATTCAAAATTAAAAAACTGCAAAATTTTTGTGAAGCATTGTTTCATCTTCATTGCTGACATGCTCCATCCATGGTATTCTCAGTATCCTTCTGAAGAACCACATTTCTGTAGCTTCTGGTCTTCTCTTCATTTGTGAGGAGATTATCCAATAGTCGATACTAGACAATCCCCAGATGATTGACATTACATAACAGTTCAGTACTTTTTATTTCTTTGTTTCTAATAAAATTTTCCAGTTTCTTAGTATTTTGCTTAGCTTTTGAAATGCTTCTTTTGCTATTCCAATGCACATTTGGATTTTGGTGTCAAAAAAATTCACCAGATATTTAAACTTCTGTATCTGTTTCATGTTGACGTCTCCAATTCATAGTTCGCATCTTGGGCTTTTCTCTTGCTGAGAACAATAATTTTTGTCTTCTTACAGTTGGTGGTTTAGTCCTTTCTTAATTTGTCTAGGAGGTCCTTCAGTTTGGCTTTTCTGCCTGCCATCAACACAATGTGTGTTAAGATTTCACCCACCATTAATAAATCCTGGCAGCATCTCCAGCTGCCATAGGATAGCCTCACTGTAAAGCAGGCATGGGCAACCTATTTTCAAAGAGTGGGTCGCATGAGGTGCAGTACATCGTAAGGCAGGCCACATTACTAAAAAAGGTAATTTTTCATTAAAGATGCCACAACCATTTTCCCAACGAAAGACCATGAGCATAAACATCTGTCATAGAAATGGAGGAAAGTCAATTTTCTTTCTTTGGAGAAATGATTCCTTAATAATAATAATAATAATAATAAACTGCAGTTTTGGTATAATATTATCACTGATGACAGATTGATTAACACACACTGCTACAAATGATTTATTTCTAATTTATTCATTTGCATATATAAAAATATTCGTAAAAGAAGAAGAATATTATCTAAAGAAAAATAATTATTATTGATGTTTCCTGCTTATGAAGAAAAAGGTGTTTACACATATGATCTTCCTTAGTGAAAATCGCCAATGGTTTAAAATGCTGACAACCTCAGTCAATGAAAAGTTACAAAATTCATGAAATATTGTATTTAATCATTGTTTATGTATGTGACTATGCATGAGATAATGTAGACTGTTCTTGTCTTATTTCCAGTCTAATTATACTCCATGCTGTGTTCATCAGAATCTGGATTATTAGCTTGGTCATGTGGCTTATTAAGTTGATTGTCCGATGGAGCTTGCATTCATTTGCACCTATTTTCTTTGGAAGCACTACAAAGATGGATTTACTAAGGTTTTCTGTTACATTGTCACTGCCATATATTTCATTTATTATTTGTGATTGTGTTGATGACAAAACTGTCTAAGGCTGAGAACATCTCTATTACGCCCTGTTGCTTTGTTCTTGTTCATCAAGGATGATCTTGCTTCAGAATTTAATATTTGCAGCCCTTCCAAAATCTTGTGTATTTCAGGTTTCTCCCTTAAGTTAGTTTTATAATAAATAATAAAAAGTACAGTGTTATTAGTCACCTGAATTCATCTGTATCTGTGGATAATTCTTGCTGGATCTGTAGAAATACATTCACCTAAGAATAGAAATGAAAGCATTTTTATATACCAATCACAAAATAAAATAAAATATTTAAAATATAAGGTAATTTTTTGGGAGGTGGGGGTATGAAATGAACTCAGCCCAACACATTTCCCAAAAATTAGTATTCTGAGGTTTGGCTATTGAAATAATAATTTTAGGAAATGGTCAGGACAATAACTTTTCAGCACCCTATCATAATACACAAAGGTAGTAATAAATAAGTTGACAGAATAAAAAAATACTTCGTAAAACAAAAAAATAACTAACATGTTTGATTTATTATTTTTAACAGGAAACCTAACAAAAGGCTGACGATGAAATACTCCTTTAATTTTTAAGATATTTGAATGGCTTAAAATAATTTAATCTATCTGAACACAGCCATCTAAGTGATTAATATAAAATGCGTGACTAATAAATTCAAATCACTAAAAACGTTAAAGACAAAAACAAAAATAGAGAAAAAAAACAAGAGAGACAAAGAACAAAAAGAAAGAACAAAAAGAAAGAACTAAAAGAAAGAACTAAAAGAAAGAACAAAAAGAAAGAACAAAAAGAAAGAACTAAAAGAAAGAACTAAAAGAAAGAACTAAAAGAAAGAACTAAAAGAAAGAACTAAAAGAAAGAAGGGAGGATAAAAACAAAAAGCAGAAAAGAGAAAAAACAAAAAGAACGAGAAAAAACAAAAAGAAAAAACAAAAAAGAAAAAAACTAAAAGAAAGAAAAACAAACGACAAAAAAAAGAACAAAAAGAAAGAACTAAAAAAGGAGGGAGGATAAAACTAAAAAGGAAAAAAAAAAGAAAAAAGAAAGAGAAAAAACAAACATCAAAAAACAAATAGAAAGGAAAGAGACAAACAACAAAAGAGAGACAGCCAAAAAAAAAAAAAAAGAGAGACAAAAAACAAGAGACAAAAACCAAAGAGAGAAAAACCAAACAAAAAAGAGAAAATAACCAAAAAAAGAGAAAAATAAAAAAAGAGAGCCAAAAAAAAAAAAAAAAAGAGAGAAAAATAACAAAAAAAGAGAGAAAAATAACCAAAAAAGAGAGAAAAATAACAAAAAAAGAGAGAAAAATAACAAAAAAAGAGAGAAAAATAACAAAAAAAGAGAGAAAAATAACAAAAAGAGAAAAGAAGAGTAAAACAAAATAAATCAAAACACGGCAAAAGCAGAAAACATTAAAAAAAATAAAACTTAAAAACACAAGCAAAAAACAACAGCAGATAGAAAAAATTAATATAAAATCACCATTTCCGTGATGATGGTAGGCCAAAGAGAAGTCAGTTGATAGGGTGACATCCGTAAGATAAGAACACGGAAACAAAGGAATACTTGGGACATCACTGATGGCACTTGGGGTGTACGTAAACTTTCAGCCAGGCGTTCTGAAAATAAAAAATTAACACAAGATTATGGAAATGATGAGAAAGACAACTTTGCATACACAAAGAAAATTCTCTGATCAATATTTGGACAAATTTTGAGAAAGGTGTTTGTTTAAGAACTTCTCAGCACCTGCTTTATAATTTATATCTTGTGGACATAAAGACACACAAAGTATTCATTTGTCTGTTCTATTTTAAACTAGATGTCACGAATCATTTGACAAAAGTGAGGACACCACAAATTACTTGTTAAGAAAATTCCCATTTTAAAAACTGACTGCAAAGTTAAAATGAATAAAACAAAACAAAAAATAAATATATAAATAAAGACTAAAAATAAAAAAAAAAAGAAAACAAATAAAAAATAAAATTTGTGAAACTTGTTTTCTGATGAATACACATTTGATATTTTTATTTATTTTTAATAAATATATTTATAGTTATTATAATTTTAGCCCCTGGAGGGACTGGTCTGCCTACAAAACTCTGGAGTCAGGATGCTGAAGGTAACATCAATCAGCTAAGTGACAAACTTTTACTCATATTAATCCTATATCGGCAAAGTATTCGAGGCCTTAATCAATGCTGAAGTGGTTAAGGATCTCACCTCTCACAACCTACGCTGATAAACAATATAGCTTCTGTTCTTCCCAGTCTACCACTAACGTGCATACAGCCATCACTGAATATGTATATCAAGCTCTTAATAACGGCAAAGCTTGAGCTGTGACTCTACATATCTCAAAGGTGTTTGACAGGGTTTGGCAAGCAGATCTTCTACATAAGCTTTGGGGCTATGACATTACAGGACTATTGTTTGATTTAATCCTATCATTTCTATCAAACCATGAAATGAAGGTTGTTCTGAACAGGCTCATTTCCAGATCTTTCTAAACAAATGAAGGTGTCCCCTAAGGCTCTATGCTGGGTCCAATGCTGTTTCTGATCTTCAACAATGATCATGGTGATGTCCCAGTTCTCAAATAGGCATTGACACAGATGACACTGCCATTTACTTCTGTCTCAATAGCAAATCTGTCACAGCTGATGACAAAGTTAACCTGGCTGCTGTTCTTGAAAAGAACCTCCAATCAGTGGTTAACTGGGACAGGAAATGGCTTGTAAATTTTAATGCCTCCAAAACTAAATTGCTCTCGTTTAACCACCATAGAGAGATTTCCTTGCTCGCTATCAGCATGGCTCATGCTCAACTCCTGGAGTGTGTCTCACTGCATCTTCTTGGCCTCACATTTAAAAACTGGCTTGAATTAGAACAATTACATTGAATCAATAGCTGCATCTACTGCAAGGAAAATTGGTTCATTGTGTCGTGCCTGAAAATTTTTCTCATCAGAGTCCAACTTGCACATTTATAAATCTACCATTCGTCGATACATTGAATAATGTTGTCATATCTGGTCTGGTGTTCGAGCTATTCATCTCAATGTTCTTGACAAAATCCAAAGAAGGATCTGCAATGTAATGAATCCTGACCTGGCATCTTGACTTCAGTCATTTTCTCACAGACATGATGTGGTTTCACTTTATCTTTTCTGAAAATAGTCTCATGGCAACTGCTCTGACAAGCTTTTTCCCCCCCAGTGCTTCAACATTGGCATCTAGGTCCCATGCGTTTACTGATGAAATAGTTAAGTGTAAATGGGAGTTCTACACCAACAGTTTCTTTTTTCACACTTCCTGACAGTGAAACTCCCTTCCATTTACTTGCTTCCCTATAAACTATAATCTTCAAAAATTTAAATGCAACATCAACTGTCATTTCCTGTTGTCTTGAACTGTTCATCTTTTATCCTTTCCTCAATCCCCACCTATACCCAGTCTTTTCTTTCACTCTCTGTAACCTCCTGCATACTAGTGGCTTTATATATATATGTTTAGTTGGACTGATGTGAGTTTGTGACCCTGTGTTTAACGCTATTGGTGTTTTATGGTAATGTGAGGGAAAATTGTCAAAAGAAAGCCGGATATACATACACGTATGTTCACGCATTGCAGCTCACATAAACATATATAAACAGTGTGGGACTGAGCGTATATTTTCCTCCCACTACCATAAAACACTGATATACACAATCATAAATAAATCCAAAATTTCAAAAATTAATCAGTTTGTCTGACAATCGCAGAGAGTGGGAAACCCAGGGTCACAAACTCACATCAATCCAACAAAATATGTCACTGATATGGAGCGCTTTTCAATAAGTACCATGCATATATAATTATTTATTCGAAAATTATAACATAAAAATGTTATAAAATCACTACAAAAATAGCCATTTTGTTTCTGGTGTCTTATCAAGTGATCGTGTTCAATGTAGAATTATTTATTCCATATACACCAATCCTATACTTTGACATTTCAATATAAAAAATTATACTGATACTGAGTTTATAAGTCCCAAAAATTCAAACACTGGCCCAGTTGATCAAAGTGGATTATATATATATATATATATATATATATATATGTGAATGATCCACTTTGATCAACTGGGCCAGTGTTTGAATTTTTGAGACTTATAATGTATGTATTAAATGACATGACATGACACGTTCTTTGGGCCGAATGCAGTTTGGTGTCAACAGCATTCTGGGTAATCCCTCTCTAGTGGGATTATCCATAGCTGCTGAAATGTATCATGTATTTATTTTAGAGACATCTGCATCACATATCTAACCATCTTTGTATAATTTCAGGTGATTGAATGTTAAATTCCAAGTTGTCCTTTTCCTATGCTGGTTGCCAACTATCTTGTTATTTAACCTATAGTCAGGGAGAGAACTGATTGATTCATGCATTTACCAAAGACAGTTGTGCAATGTGAAAGTATTGAATTTGACCAGAATTTGACCCTTGTTCCAAAACGCTAACCGTTACACTACCTCCACATCTATTAAAAGTCATCAAATATAGGAATTCAATTTTAGATGTTAGGAAAAAAAAACAACTTTTACCAAGAGATTATATTCATGGAGTATTTCTTATGGAATAAATTCACTATCAAGGTCTTACAAGACTGGTCAAAATAATTTGAATTATATTTCTAACAAAACTGGACCAAAAAATGGAACGTCAAATGAACAGTTTTTCCATTGACACTGCTATTATTTTCTAACTACCTTCACTCCTTGATAATGTTTATTGTCTTAAAAAAAAAATAAACAATGATTTGAATTTTAATTAAACCTAACCATATGAAAGTGAATTTATACATTTTCTTTGTTCTTGAGAATTGACAACAAAAATAATAAACACTATTTATTTATTAGATTCTTTATTTACACTATTTGTTTATTTGTTTGTTTATTGGGAATGGTTGGTAAAACATCGGCTAATTGTCAACTGATTCAAACTTTATAAAATGGTAAATAAGAATTTCCTTATAGTTTGTACACATATTTTAATAATTTAGTAAATGTTGACAAGTTTATGAATAAAAAATTGTTTTCAAATTTATTTCTTTATAAATTGGCAAATGATAAATATTGCATTGCATTAGTTTTAATTGTATAAGTTTTTAGAATGTTGTGAATATAAAATTAGTCTAATTAATCTCATAAATAAATGTTTAATATTTTGGTTGTAAATTCTCAGAACAAAAAAAATGTATAAATTCACTTTCATATGTTTAGGCTTTATTACAATTCTAATCATTGCTTTTTAAAACAAACATTGCTAAGGTGTAAAGGGATTAAAAACAGTAGTGGTTTCAAGGGAAAAAACTTTCCTTTTGACATTGTTTTTGGGATTTTGTTTTGTAAGCCTAAAGGTTTGCCCAAAATTTTACTGCTTTTCCATAAAATGCATATCCTGAAAAGAAGAATATATTAAAACAATCAATTTTAGCCAATCAAAAGAAATTAAGGTAAAAATGGGAGAAAATATGAAGAGAAAGGCAGCGAAAGTAAGGTTTTTTTTTTTATATTAGTAATTTAACATTAGTATCTAAAACTAGTATTAAGGACTAGCACAAAAATGGCTGCTGCAATACTTACCCTGAATGTCAGGCATATTTCTCTGGTACTGGTCTGGTTCACTACAGAAAATGGTGAAAGACAATCGTTTCAGCATCTGAGCTCTTAATTCAAATTCTTGCTCTTTACTGCTGAATAAATTTAAAGAGCCAGACTGTGTGATAGAAACTCTGGCTGCAAAAAGGGGAGAGAAAAGAAAAAAGGAAAAATGAAGAGAAACTTAAAAAATGGTCTTTCATTAGAAATACTTTCTGGAAAACATAAGATTTTTTTTTATTTACACTATTTACATGCTGACTATTGTCCCTATCTTTGTAGTTGTTATCACAACCTTTGTTGTTCATTGCGGCCATTATGGGGGTGTCTATCAATCTGGCTAACCAACAAGCAAATCTTAACTAAACTCTTTGTTTAATCTATGGGAATAGACTGTTCTGGTTTCACTGCCAATGTCTAAAGATATCTCATACAGTTGTTATTGCTTAAAAGTAATATAATAATTTAATATCATTTGCAATTATCTTTTTTTTTATTTCATTTATTATGTAGATTATGATTATTATATTTATTTGAAGTTATATATGTATTGTTTATTATTATTATTCCTTTAAACTTTTTTCACAGTTGTGGTGTTTTTCTGTGTAAGTATTTATTTGCATTTTCTACTCTTGTTCATTTTTTTATCACTTAATAGTTCAGGTGTTAGTACTGTCAAAAAGGTAGTATAAATGATTTTATTGAATGTCATGAATAATGCCTTCATAATCTCCAAGTATTTTTTAGGCTTAAATCCATATATATATATATATATATATATATATATATATATATATATGTGTGTGTGTGTGTGTGTGTGTGTGTGTGTGTTTTTCTATCTGCTATCTTTTTAAAAAATTAAACTTTTGATTTTGTATTTATTTATGTATTTTGCTTGTAAATGTATTTTTGATACACTATATATATATATATATATATATATATATATATATAAAAAAAATCCTAATTAATTCATCAAGTCTAGAAGAATCCTCAACAGAATGCACTGTATGGCCATTTCTCCTATTTGGGACTCATCTGCATTATTCTAAGTCCCCCAAAATCTATCATTGAGATATATATATATATATATATATATATATATATATATATATATATTTTATTATTAATTTTTGTACACCTATCTATATTTGTCTTACTTTTTACTTTCTGTTATAAAATAAAATAAGACATATCTCGGCTGATTTACAGGCAAATAAACTAACATACTCAAGAGCGAGAGGCGGATGTGAATGGGACAAGGCCCCGTCACAAAATGGCCATTATCGTCGTTTACACATAAGCCCGACGCACAAGTTCCGGTTGAAAAATAAAATAATATTTTAAAGTGTTTCTATTTTTCAACCAATAAAAATGCTTCCCTCCTAATTATACTCGCGTCGTTTTACGAGCCTGTTAAGCCATAAAAAATGCCATAAAAGGGGTCACACGGGGAAGTACAAGAGCAGTCAACAGGAGGCCAGGGAAGAGACCTGTCACAGGCAGTCAACAGCAGTAGCGCCACGCCAACCAGCGAGAACTACTATGAGAGATCAACCCAGGTCGGCAGCTGGCTTATGAACTATACCACAAGGTAGCTGTCCCAAACCCACATGTTCCTATTGAAATAAATCACATAAATCTATTTCTGCTGTTGTCGTATTTCCTTCTTGCAACCATATGATTGTCTATAACATCTAAAATTAGATTTATCAACTTTTTCTACTATCATTTATTTTATCACTTGATAGTTTAGGTCTTAGTACTGTCAAAAAAAAAAAAAAAAAAAAAAAAAAGAGTATAGATTAATTTTGATGTTATAAATAATGAATTCATAATCTACATGTATTTGGGGCTTAAATCCTAAATTATAATTTTTATTTCTTTTATTTTTAGTACTGTTCAGTTATTTCTTGGCCTTTTTCCACTGAATCCAAATACACACTAAATTCTCAAACCAGCACTTTAATCATCATGAGACAATTCTCCATGTAGAACTTGGAGCCTTAAATCTAACTTGCCTGGTGCTTGTCTACACTCAGGTATGAAACTATTTCCGTGCTTCTTTACTTAATTTTATCTAATAAATTTTACTGAATTTTAATTTAATAATCAATAAACCTTGGACATCTACAATGCTAGATCTATCTTCTCTTGTGACAGACTAATGGACCAGACTTCTCTTTGGCCAGTGAGAATCCTTTCTTCACCCATGACTCTGCATCTCTTCTTACTTTAACCATAACACTGATTGCAACTGCCTCTATTGAGAATGGAACCTGACTGGAATTCCTTAACTTCTGGGAAAATGGCACTTAATCCCAAAAGTTTTTATTTAGTTATACATTTTATTTCTTTTTCTCAATTTCTGGACAGTAGGTGGATGCTTTGAAACTCTCAGATATCAATTTTACTGTTGGCTGTGATAAAACTCACCAGTTCCCTAGACCTGGATAGAATTATTTACGGTCCATTTGACTTCATGGGGGTCCTAACCTATCAAGTGAACAACCCATTATATCATAAGTAACAGCTTTTTTGTATATAATTAAATGCAAAACTCCACAAGAAAGTTTTGAAGATCATGTGTCTTGTCAAACAGGATGCAAAAAAAAAAAAAAAAAATTACATTAAAAAAATAGAATGAAGAAAAATGTTTTCTTACACATGAGGTCTTTAAAAGTTGTTTTGTCATGAGTCATGAGGTTATCAATGACAGTGATCCAATGTGTCAAACATTTTATATCCATTTGAAAGAAGCTTGGATCTAGCAACAGATCAAAGGCCTCCTTACGCCAAGCTTTTCGAGTGTACTGATAACCACTGATACTGGAGAGGATTTGAGAAGCCGCTCGGAAACTTGGTAGATTGTGGGCACTGCAAAAAAAAAAAAATTATATATGTTTTTAATCAGCAGGCTATCAAAGTAACATTACCAAAAATCAATAAGGTCAGCAAGTACAAGCCGTGAATAAAAATTCAAAAGATTGACATTTTATTTACAGAACAATTCAAGCATCTAGAACAACAGTAGCAAACAAGTCGCAGAAATTTATTTTCTACCTGATTAAAATCTACACTATCTCTGACATTTTATCCTGTTTGGTTTCTATTAGATTGAGTCATAAATAATTTCTGCTTTGGGGAACCAGTTGTAATGACGAATGTATCATCCTAACTACTAATCATACGTGGCAGTTAAATGAAGTACACTAACATATAATAGATAGATAGATAGTGGGAAAGAGACAGAGAAAGAGAGAGAGACACACACAGACAGATAGATAAATAGATAGATAGAGAGAAGGAGGGAGGGAGATATATATATATATATATATAGAGAGAGAGAGAGAGAGAGAGAGAGAGCGAGATATGTAGAGGTAGATTAGGTTGAGTCATGTAATTTCCGTTTTTGGGAACCACTTGTAATAACAAATATATCATCCTAACCACTAATCACCCATGGCTGTTAAGTATAAATTTAGAGTACACTAACTTACAATAATTTTTATTGCAAAAGGCAAAAGCTTGACAAGGATAAATCTCCACCACTGACCTCAAAAGTGGAGCTCCATGAAAGAAAGTAATGTTGTATGTGTAGTCCAATCATTAGGGTACCATTCATATAGGCTTCTTAAAAATGCCAAGAAACTATAAATCTATATGTCCAACAGCTATAACATGTCCATAAAAGTTGCACTCTTCAATAGGATAAAATGTTCTTCTCTTTCATGACAATACAAGGCCACATACAACAAGGAAAACACAGGAAATAATTTTGGAATTCTCTTACTCTTTTCTATTCCACCATCACCTAACCTTGCACCAACCAATGATTAGCTTTTTTGATCACTACAAAATGCTTTGATGTGTAAAATTTTTGCTAAGGAAAAGTAAATTCAAGATTTTGAAAATAGTTTTACATCGAAATCTGTGGAATTTTACTCAAACGTATTGAAGTGCTGCAAGTGGCAACAAGCCATTCCAAATAATGGTAATGATAATATTATCCGTTTCCTGAAAAGGAAACATTCAGTATTCTTTGACTGGGCAGCAAATATTAATGCTGGTTGAAATTTATAAAATCTTTCCCATAAAACAATTTTTCAAGAAAATAGATTTCTCAAGCCCAGTAGCTGTTATCACTCTTTCCAGAATTGATGGCGGTTATCTTTCTATGGTTCTACACCATAACACTAACCTTTTGTTTGAAGTAGTGTAAAATGTCAACATTTTGATTAAGTCATTATTTTCTCATTGTAAGATTAATGGTCAGAGTTGAATTAGACCAGGAAACAGTAGTATTAAATAGTGTTAAAAAATAAAAAATAGCATATAGAGCTTTTATTTAAATAAAATATTAATTGTACATTATTTTTTGAAGAATATATGAACAAAAATAGAAATTATTTATGACTCAACTGAATATATTTTCATTCTTGCCAATATATGTAGAGTAATTGACAGAAATACCCAACAAACAGAATTGACAAAATTTGCAATAAGCAATAAGAAGAGAAAGAAAAGAACAGGGCAATATAATGCTAAAAAAACAATATATATGAGACAAAAGTAGGCAAAGCAACAGTGATAAGGCAAAATGTTCACAAACTAAGAATGGTGTTAACACAAAAGGGGGATACAGACAAGCAACTGCAGCGTTCTGGCTTCAAGACTAGAAAAAACAGAACTAAGCTGGATGAGACTAAGAAGTGGTCTATCTTATTGGTGAGGCAGAAATCCCAGCATGCAGCTGTATGCTTTATTTATAAATTTGGGGAGGGCGCTGTTTTTACAGTCATTCCCCCTACAAACTGGAACCAACAATATATATTACTATTATTCAGTCAGTCAGTTATTTGCCATGCGGGATACATGCTTAGGGAATCATGTATCTTTCAATACATGACTGATGAGGCAGATTTCTTTCTGCAGTAGACCAGTTGCTATCGAAGGCTATAGAGTCCAGTCTGTCCTGCTATTTATACATAGCTGGGGGACAAGAAGAGGATTAATACCTTTCCCAAGGGTATTAGCACGTAAGTGAATGTAATGGATTCGACTGGAAAGTCAGTCAGTCAGTTATGTTCTATGCGTCATACACTCTTAGGCAATCATGTATCTTTTGATACATGACTGACGAGGTAGATTTTTTCTCGTAGTAGGTTGCCATTTCTTTCTGCGGTAGACCAGTTGCCATCCAAGGCTATAGAACCTGGTCTGTCCTGCTATTTACTTATAGTTGGGGTGGGTGGGGTTAGGATTCATACCTTTCCCAAGGGTATTAGCATGCAAGTGAATGTAATGGATTCAACTGGAATTCGAACTCAGCTCTCCGATTCCTCAATTCGAGACGCTATCCATTACTCCACCATGCCTTCTATTATTACTGACCATAAATTAATAGAAAAGTTCAAAATAGTGTCGCAATCAAAACAAACTCATAACTGACCAAAAACCTGATATTTGGTGAGTTTGCCTTATATGTTTCAGTTGATCCAAATTGGGAACAGAAAATCTATTTGTAGAAAGGTTGATTTTGTGTCTTTATGGTCTTTTCTCAATAATTAAATCATGTATGCTTCTCTTCAGTAATGATATATTTAATTGCAATATAGACTTTTAACTGTTGCAAATGATTCCAACTTGAAACATTACGACTCTTTCAAAATTATACTTTTTTACATAAAAATGAACTATTTAAGATTAACAAAGCATTGAGCCAACGAAAAGAGGAGGAATAATTTGACAATGAAATTTGTCAAATGACAAAATTTTGACAATTAAAAAATGGAAAGAGAAGATATTTTATTCAGTTTGCCTTGTATCTTCAATCTGTCTGAAGTTTGTTTTTTTTACAGTGATGTTCACCCTGTACAAGGCCCAAGAGCCACTCAAGGTAAAGGGTTATAGTGTAAGAATATGAGGCACAGTTGATGGTGGGTATGTGGGGAAAATAACAATTTGCAGTGATCAGAAAAGCATCCTCTTGGAAGTCACTTCCACAAAGCAGCAGTTCATGAGAAGTTGCTCAAATAGAACTTACATCTCACCAATGGAATATGAAGGTAATGAGGGTGGTTAGCTACAATGTGCATGACATGGAGGGTCTTAGCTGTGCAAGGTTAGAACTGGTGGAACACTTTCCATGAAATTAATGGTAGAGCAAGAAGTTCGCAATGTTTTGCCTGTGAGAAAGGAATTGTTGGTTGTAAAATAATTTGTCACCCACAAGGATGTGGAGAAATTGAAGACTGGGCATCTCCTGGCCATATATGGCAGCAGTACTCCGTTTTTGGCTTGATCTTGCTCTTGTAAAAGGAAGAGTCAGGTACTTCCAGGGAATTGACCATTTTTCAGCATCTTTAGTGATGGATCATATGTATTTAAACCCATAGCTGAGGAAGAAGAGGTGGATTCATGCCTTTCTCAAGGGTATTTGCACATGTGTAAATATAATGAACCCAACTGGAATTAGAACTCAGCTTCCTTATTTCCAACTGCCAGCTGTTATCCATTGCACCATTCACACATCCAAACTTACAGAACCTGGTATTCCCAAGTGATCACTTTTCTAGCTACTGGCCAGACTCAACATTGCTTAACTTCGGTTACTGGACAAGAACTGATGTTTCAATGTGATATGGCCCTAAGCCTGTAAGTGAATGTTTAAGAATAGAAATAATACAAAAGAATAACTCAAAATTAATCTGCTATCAACAAAACAGAACAGTAGCCTGATTGAATTTTGATCAAAAAGTTTTACTGTATAATGTTCAATATATTTTTTTTTAATCAATTCACCCCAAGCAAGATGATAATGCCACTATAAAGCAAGGGGCTACTGGGAGTGAAAGAGAATAAAAAAGATTTTAGAAGGAAGTAGACATTAGAAGGAACTGGAAACCCAATACAAAATAAGAAACAAGGAATAAACTTCTATTCCTGTTCAAAAGGCTGGGAAGGAATGTGAACCAGACAACAGGTGTACCGATGTGTAAATTATATGTAAAGTCATTGACAAAGGAACTGATATCTTTTCTTCATTAAACTAAATTCAACAAAATACTACAAAAATTACACAGTAAAGCAAAAAGCAATTTTTTTCTAACAGTAACATTCAAATTTTAGACACTGTCAAATAAAGTTATAATAAACAACCAAAATTCATCATCAAGGTCAACTTCAGTCAGGATCACAGAGTCATTGTAAATTCCATGATCCTTTCATTAGCATGTGCTTCACCAGTGCTACATACAATTCTGAATTCATAGTTTCCTTCTCCAAGACTGGGCTTTTCAGTTTTGGTTGGCAACCAATCTGATCTACTATTTAGCTATAGTTAGAGGTTTTGAATTCAGTGTGGTCAGTTACAAATTTGTTCACAAAACTATAACTTACTGAAGTTCATATTAAAATCTTAAATACATTTACAAAGGAAAAAAATTTTTTTAAGTTTTTGCATGAAGTATTTTTATTCTTCTGCATATTTTTGTGACAAGTATATTTTGTTTATTTTTGGCCCAAAAGCACCAGCAGAAAGAATTTTCAACCATTATTTTCTCATCAAAGAATCAATTATTAAAATACTAGTGAGGTATGTTTCGTACTTCTAACAAGACAATAATCAAAATTATGCATATTTATGATTTTTTTTTTTCATTATTAAAATTTAGTTACTTGGTTAAAGTCCACTTGTATCAAAGGACAACAAAAAAATGTTTAAAAACTAAAATCTTAAAAAAGTAATTTTTAAAATAGTCTAGCATCATACACAGTAAATTATTACAATATAATAATTGTAAAATTTAATTATTAGCTTTCAAGAAATTTTTTTTTTAAACACTGTCTTTGGAGTAGATGCAATCATACTCTGCGGTCTATTGACATAATACAGTTTATAAAATTTGCAAAACAAACCTGTGGTTTCTCAAGTATGGAAATACATTGTACATGATGGATGTCAGAAATGAAGCAATCCTTTCTTTTTCATCACTGCCATATACAACATCCAACAATGGTGCAGTCAACTGAAAAATAAATAAATAAATAAATAAACAGAGAAACACATTCCAAACAGAACTTCACAAATTTCTCACAAAAGCCCAAAACTTGTACAAAAAATATACATCAAGATTTAAAACATTTTTCTTTTAATTTTTTAAGAAATTAATTTTTTAAAATTAAGAAATTAATTTTTTAAAATTAAGAAATTAATTTTTAAAATTAAGAAATTAATTTTTAAAATTAAGAAATTAATTTTTAAAATTAAGAAATTAATTTTTAAAATTAAGAAATTAATTTTTAAAATTAAGAAATTAATTTTTAAAATTAAGAAATTAATTTTTAAAATTAAGAAATTAATTTTTTAAAATTAAGAAATTAATTTTTAAAATTAAGAAATTAATTTTTAAAATTAAGAAATTAATTTTTTAAAATTAAGAAATTAATTTTTTAAAATTAAGAAATTAATTTTTTAAAATTAAGAAATTAATTTTTTAAAATTAAGAAATTAATTTTTTTAAATTAAGAAATTAATTTTTTAAAATTAAGAAATTAATTTTTTTAAATTAAGAAATTAATTTTTTAAAATTAAGAAATTAATTAATTTTGATTAGATTGGATGAATGTCCACATCTTTTTTTATAATCACAATGCTTCACCTGTTGTACCACCCAACCTTTGTCAGTTGTTAATGCACATTGACTGCCAACGATGAGAGATAAATCATGTTGAGCAATCTTTATTATGATGCCAACTACAAGTCGTCTCATGCTTGGCATTTTCTGATACATTTTCATTTGCGGGTACCAACCATGCTTTTATTCGGAGTGATACTTTTATTGTGAAAACAATGTTAAGATTTCAGTTGAAGCTAGAAATCAACTCATAAAAACATTCTATTGCCTAAGTTCGCCATTATAAAGTTGGTATTTGAAATCAGATTTCATAATTGACCTCTGGCTGTCAATAAGTTCAAGAAAAGCCTCATCTTTACACTAAATAAAAAGAAGCATATATATGTGTGGGTGTGTATGTGAATACACATGTATGTCTAGAAGTTACTATTTTTATTACTTAAATACTATTTTTAGTACAAGTATTTTTCTGTACACGTATCCATAAAAATAACATTTAAGTAATAAAAATCTGGTAGATTAATAAATAAAACATCCATCTCCTTCCTTTACAGAATTTACTATATTTAAGAGGAATGAATGATCAATATCAAAGATAGAGTGTATATATAAACAATGCTAACAATAAATTGATTCACCCTCATTTCAGTAACAAATTTTGGTTGCTTATTGTGCGCAGAGTCAAATGTTGGTTTAACACATTAAATGCCAACCATGAAATAAACTCATATTTAACAATTTTTATTATCATGCCAAGTAAGAGTTATCTTGTGCATATCATTTTCTGATACATTTTCACTTGCGGGTGCCGACAAGTTTATTTACCACAATACTTTTAATGTGAAGACATCAGTTGAAGATATAAATCAACTCATAAAATGTTTTTATTGTTTAAGTCAGCAGCTGTTATAATTTTGGCATTTGAAGTCAGATTTCATAATTAACCCTTGGCAGTCAACGTGTTAACCTTCTGGGTTATTTCAAGCTGAACTCTTTATTCAATCCTTCCTGAATCCAGTTCTTTTATTGTCCTATCTCCTTACTAAACTTTTCTCATTCTCTTCCACTTCCAGTAACCCCTTGCATCTTAGTAGCATTATCACCTTACTTGGGGTGAAATGATAAAAAAAAAAAAAAAAAAAAAATCTACACATTGAATTGATATAGCATAGATAGGTGAATTTAACCACAGGGACAGAATAAAAGGTTGGTTTGAAATTCCCAAAAGGTTAGACATTTGAAGAGGCCCAAAGGTACAGCAGTTGAAAGATAAGGCCATTGCCTTGAGTAAATAAGTGTTCAAAATATTTGATATAGAATCTTGTAGTCAAGTGTCTTTAAAACTAAAAATAATCTTGTCTCTTAAACTAGATTTACTTAAAAAAAAATAAAATAATCTACTAATAATTGACTAGGCTTTGTATAATAATAAAATTCAATTTATTACTAATACTACTACTACTACCACCACTTCTTTTATATGCTGTGTCCCTTTAGGATGTAAGCAATCACAGACCTCCACATCTTCCTGTCCCTTGTCGCTCTTAATAAGTTTTGTCATTTTGTTATTTCTTGCAAACTGTTCTGCCATTCATTTGCTCAAGCTTATCAAGTATGGACACAATGCTTTCTTTTGTCCTTCAATCTTCACATGAGTATCATGTTTTCCAAGCCCACTTTCCTCATTACATAGCCCAGAAACCTCAACTATCTCTTCCTGATATTAACTATAAGTTTCCGGTTTTCAGTCTCTCCAAAACTTTGTTGTTGCTCATATGTTCGGCCTATGGTACCCTCAACATCTTTCTGCAGAATTACATTTCTGTTGCTACAACTCTCTTCTTCATCTTTGCAGAGATTGTCCAGCACTCGCTGCCATATAACCACCAGTGTATTGAAAACAAACATCAACCAAAGCAACACCAGGTGTTAAAAAAAATAAAAATAAAATATAATAAAGTTATATGATCAGGTAGGACCTTGGCTTACATAATTCAAAAAGCAGAGCAGTTTTCAAAATCAGGTTCCCTTAACCCCGCAGGATACTACTATTTCTGTGTGTTATATCCCTTCAGGTTGCAGGCGATCATGGCTCTCCAAATTTTCCTGTCCTTTGTAGCTCTTAGTTCCTATCTCTCTTAATCCCTGTTCAGCCAAGCATTTACATGAGCTCACCAATTAGACTATACACTGTTTTCCTCTGTCCCTCTTGCCTTCAATGTCCAACAGAAATGTGGCTCTCTACAGAAGAATGCTGAGAATATTATGTACTGAACAGGTGAGCAATGACAAAATTTTAAAGAAAATGGAAACAAAAGGGACACTTTTACTTATCAAAAAGGGACAGTTCAAATTTCTAGGTCGCATAATGAGGAAAGAAGGCTTGGAAAATTTGTTACTCACACGACAGATTGAAGGTAAGGGGGACAGAGGAAAACAATTTATAACCCATCTAGCAAGCGTGAGTAAATGAATGGCAGAGAAAAGTTTTAAGCGAGGTTAACGAAAAGACAATATTTATTAAGAGCTACAAAGGACAGGAAATTACAAAGACCCATGATTGTCAACATCCTGAATGGACACAGCACATAAAAGAAATTGACATTTGGTTTAACATTTCATCCTTAATAAAGATCACTCTCCTCTTTTTCTCATGACCAATCCAATTGTAGAGGAGACATGAGCAATGACGATGCAGCCAGCCACCAACCAGATCTGTTTTCTGCCTCATGAAACAGTATCGGATTGTCCATCCTGACCAATTCTTTGATGTTGTCCATCCAGTTTTCGAACAGCTTCCCCCTACATCTACCCACCTCCCAGGTACCTTGAAGGACTGTCTTGGATAGATTATTGTGGCATGTGACATGTCCAAGCTACAACAGCTTTCTCCTCTTTACTGTTGCCAAGAGGTGCTCCTGGGGGCCTGCCAGTTGTGTTACTTGGCGCTAGACAAAGTCATTTGTCTTGGAATCTCTCCAGGAGATCCCGAGAAGCCCTCTGAAACATTTTGTTTCAAATGTTTTGATTATCTTGGTGGTTTCTACTACCAGAGTCCCAGTTTTCACATCCATAGAGCAGTATGGACAGCACCAGGGATAACTAAATCCAATACTCAAGCATTGTACCAATCCAACACGTAACTACACATGACAATCAGTAAATGCCATTATAAACATAGCATTCAACTCTTCTTCAAATCCCTTTCCTTTAATTTGCATTAACAACCTTCCCAATGGTATCAGCTCTCAACATGGTATCTATGCTGACAACATGACCACTTACTCCTGTTTTGACACTAGGTCCGATCAGCCAATAAGGTCAAACTGGCAGCTGATGCCAAAAACAACGTTCAGTCTGTTGTTAACTGGGACAAAGGATGGCTTGTTAATTTTAATGCTTCCAAAACTAAACTGCTTTTTATTAATCACTTGGGATTTCTGCCTTCCATCAGCATAGCTAACCTACAGGATAATGACTCGTGGCGCCTTCTCAAGCTAACATTCTCAGCTGACACGAAGTGGAAAGACTATATTGAATCCATTGCTAAGTCAGCTGTTAAGAAAATCAGTTCACTTTGTCATACTAAATAATTTTTCTCTCCAGAATCTATCTTGCATATCTATAAATCTACCATTCATCCATGCTTAAAATATTGCTGACACATATATAGCAGGAGCACTGGACCATATCTAGAGATCATTGATAAAATCAAAAAAAGAATCAGCAATATTATTGGTCCTGACCTGGTGTCTCAGCTTCAGTCATATTCTCACCACCATAAATTTCTCTCCCTATGTCTTTTCTATGAAATGACAACGGTTCAGACAAGCTCTTTGCTATGGTACCTAGACCAATTTGCAGTTGAGTTGGTTAGACATAACCATAAGTTCTATGCTAATAATTTCTTTTCTCAAATTTCTCACTTGTGGAACTCCCTTCAAGCTCCATGCTTTCCAGTCAACTTTCATCATCAAAAATTTAAATGCAATGTCAATTGCTACCTACTGTACTCCTGATTACTCATCTTTTATTCTCACTCCTTAGTAATATTTCTGTTTTCTAATTTTTCCACACCAAGTAGCCCCTTGTGTCTTGGTAAGTTTACTGCCTTGCTTGAGGTGAAGTTGATTAAAAAAGGAAAAAAAAAAATTAAATGCTTTCATTTCCTAAAAAAAAAAAACGTTAAAACATGCACTTTTGCAGAAACATGGCAGTAAGAGAAAGTTCCCTGATTATAAGTGATGTAATTGTAGTGCTCAATACATACTTTATATATAACATATACATATATATACCATCCTGGGTATGACGATAAACTACATCCGCGTCCTGGGTAAGACAAAAAACTATGTCCAACAGCAAGGCCTCTGATCAAGAGGATTTAAGGAGCATGGAACCACCTCTTAATTGCTGGTGTTCCCAGGTCCACCCTGAACTGGGGTGGTAGTACCAGTTAGGGCCCCAACTACTAGTAAATAGTTAACTCACAAAATGGTGTCAAAATACTATGAGAATGTCAAAAAAAATAGGTTTTAATATCAGAAATACTTTGTTAAAAAAAAGAAAAAATATTACCAGTTATGTATTTTGGAAACAAAAAAAAAAATTACCATCAAAAAAAAAATTGTTGGCATTAAATAACCCATTGAGGTTGATATGCCATAAAACAAAACAAACCAATTAAATATATATGTGTGTGTGTGTGTGCATGTATAAACACACACACTGCATAACAAGTAAAATTAAGCTCAATTGAGCAAATATTACTGAATTCTCATTACAACCATTTGATGACAATTAAAAAAGTTTTGTATAATATTTGTTAAAAAAAAAAAAAATCTTGGCAAGACCAACATAAAAATCTGATCACTTACCTCGGCTAACATAGTCAGAGCTTGGACACAATATTTTACATCGGCATTTGTGTGCAGTTGAGGCTCCAGTACCTTCCTTTCAGCCAAAGACATATGTTCAACATCTAAAAATGGTACAGACAAGTCATCAAAACTTGAATCATGTAGGAATATCAGCAAACATTATATCCAGAGTTGAACAGAAGCCATTTCACCAATAATTGACATAACTTTTTTTTTTTAAATTCCAAATGTTACTATAATTTTAACCAATGAACCATTGCAGAATTTTTTGTAATTTTCAGTCAAGCCAAAGAACAGTAATAAATGATACAATCAATAAAAATATTAGTCTGAAGAAGTCCTTTTGAAGGACTTTTAAGCTATCTAAGAAAAAAAAAAAATCTACTTTCAAATGCACATACCAGAAAACACATTCACAATCAGATAACTCAAGATATCAGACACAAAAAAAAAAAAAAAATGTTTTATACTTTTTCTTTAATGAAAGAATTTAGTGATATGAAATAAAAAAAAAAAGAAAAAATAAAAAAAATGAAAGAAAAAAAAAACAAAACTCACCACTATCCTCAGTAATTTCCCCTTCCTCTGTTTCAGTAATATCAGTTTGGGGTCCTGGTTTTACAGCCAAATTTCTTCGTAGCCATGTGGTTTGTTCCAGACACAGACCAGCTACTGTACTGACAGCTTCTAGTAGCTTCTGAGCAATATCCTGTAAAATATTTTTACCATTTTTTTAAATAAATACAAAGATACATAATAAATAAAGAGATGGTGATAACTCAAACATTGCTCCTGATGTTAATTGAACGAAGGTGTTAACAAGTACATTTTGTCTTGGTAAATTGATGGGCTACAGTAAATATTCTGTTCAGTATCACAGATTTGCTTGTCACTTGACCCATAAAAATTTATATATCCAGACGTCTAGGCACACTGATGAGCTGTGATACAGCGAAACAGTCTGTGGATGACAATATATATGCTCCTGAAAAATTATTTCGGTTGAGCTCTCAGGATAGAAAGCGTGAGTTTGCAAACAGTTACTATTACTGCTACTAATGCAATACTCTTTGATAAAATTACATTCCCTCAATCACTGGCATGTTTATCTAAAAATAAATACGCCTAAATTCACCTCCATCCCTGCCGTGCACCAACAGCTTAGGGGTAGATTCTCTTACAGACGCCAATTCAACTGGGTTTTAATCCTAGCTAGAGGCAACCAGACATCTAGCCACACTTGAACTGTGATACAGCGAAACAGTCTGTCTCTGAATAACTATATATATATATATATATATATATATATATAAATGAATAAAATTGTGTATTTGGACAGCAATCCCTCTTTTATACAAGTTTTGTTAAAAACAACAGACAAGGTAATGTGATTAAGCTTTTTATTTCATTTTTCTTGTGGTCGTACAAGTACTTTCTTTTCTGGACCTACCTACCTACCTATTAGTAGAAAATAATAAAAATACAAGTATAATAACCTCATCCACATGTAAAAAAAGCTTCTAAATAATGGAAGCCCTAATAATAAAAAAAAAGCCAACACTCAATCACATTAACTACAAACATGACAACAATGTGCTGTGTTTAAAAAATAAAATATTCTTATAACTTCAGACACACACATAAAAAATGCCCACATTCAGTTAAAAATTTTTTAAAAAAGTAAAAAATCATCCTTTATAATGGCTAAAAGAAAAGCCAAAATCATTCGGATATTTGTAGAACTTTTGGGCAGTTTTTATACATTTTGTGTCCAGAAAAGAAAACACTTGTATGAAGACAAGAAAAATTAAATAAAAAGTTTAATCATAGTACCTTTGTAACAATATTTAACATGGTGTACGGACAAAGAGAGTTAAACAAACAAAAAGGGTTAAAACAAAATGATTTTAAATTTTTGTCAGAAAGAGAATTATTTTCCTAGGATATGGGAATAAATGTATGAATTTTGTTGAAAAAGTTATACAATGCAATTCAACAAACAGGTGCAGGATCAGAAGCCAGAGGTTAAGGTCTGATATAAACATCATATCGTGACTTATTCAGGCGTCGTCCATTTTATTTCTCAATTTTGTATGCCCGTGTTCAACTCCTTAGTTTAGCGTGGTTAAGATACCCCAGTAGAAATTCGGCTTGACCCTCTTAAGATCAAAATCACAAAACATGGGTAAGAGAGGTCACAGTTGAAAAGGTCAACTTAGAGACCAGCTGCTGTGTCAAAAGCCATCAACGACCGACGAGTGGGCTGACGGCTTGTTCTCTGATACCAGGATCGATCCTGACCAAGCGAGCAGACTGGGATTGACCCTGAGTACCGCCATACCTGATGAGCTGTGATTGCTAAAGAGCTCAAGGTTTCAAGCAGACTAGACCCGGAACAACATCATGGCTTGGAACCGTCATATAAGCGGTCGCCGCGGGCAAGCTGCAGTCTGGAATACCGTCATAATTGGTCACCGTGGGCAGGCTGCAGCTCCTGAATGCGTTATACCTTGTCAGTTGTCTTTAAAAAAAAACGTGTGTGTGTGTGTGTGTGTGTGTGTGTGTGTGTGCAAATTGCTTTTTTGAATTTACTATATAAAAATAAATAAAATTTAAAAAAAAAAAAAAATAATTGCTTTACCTGGATATCTTTTTGGCTTTTCCTGTCTTCCATACTTGGTGTCCTCTGAACAAATTCATTCAAAATTCTGCAAATTACATCAAAAGAAAACAATGAGACTATTTTAATTTGATATTAAGCTTACTTTAAAAAAAAAATAAAGAAACACTGCTTCATTTTTATCTTTTTAATTATATATAATACAAATCCATAAAAAAATATGGCATCAGCTTTGTGACACTATTTAGCTATGGTAATTGGCTAACTAATTAACCATAGAAGTTATCCCAAAAGATATACCGTTCGATGTTAAAAAGATTTTATTTACGAAAAAGTTACTTTTCACAAAAGACAGTAAACCCAGAGAAAAAGCCATATGTGAGATTTTGTCAAATTGATTAATATTGTTGTAAGAAATGCCTTGCTGAGGAAAATATGAGAATTCGGAAAGAAAAGCAAATCACTAAGATATCAGGCAGACCACATGGCGGTCATAAAAATTTTGGCCTGAGACGATTGCCAATACAGGGTAGGGGGAATCAATATTAATTATCTTTCCAAGATATAATTTTTTTTTTTTTTTTCTTGAGTGCTGGCAAGGCAAAAGCCATATGGTATTTGTGGGAATTTTGGCATAAGAGAAAAATCTATCCAGATACGGGTGGAGAGGATTGTTATTATTTACTTTACCAAAGTGTCACTTTCAGACGTTGAGTAGCAATATGGTGATTATAAAATTTAGGGCATGAGAAAAGATAGCATGTTAGAATTGTGATTTGGTGAGATAAGGAATTTAATTTCTCAAGAAGCCAAGAGTTCCAGTAACTAACTTCATGAAGGGACCAAATGGCAAACTTTGACAGTGATTGATGGAATTGGTAAAGAGTGCTGGCTAAGTGGATTCTGAGTGACCAAAAGATATGATAGATTTTAAGTGGCAACATGGGATTCGTAAATATTTTGGCCGATGGGAAAAAAGAGAATTTTGTAAACAAAAATTCTGGGTTATAATTTAAAGAAGGCCAGCTTAGCCACACCCGCACAGTCATGATGCCATTGGTCGAGTGGTAACAATGGTGATAGGCGGAGGTGAATGGATGAGAAGGATAGAGAAGTTATTAATGCCCACTGAAGGGATTGGTATGAGAGATCAATATGAGAGAGGAAGAGTTTAAGAGGATAGCTCTCCTCCAACCTCCCCTCATGGACAAGGGAGACCCCCCAAAATGGAAAGTGATTAATTTTCCAAAAATGAAAAGTAATCAATTTTCCTGGCCTGACATAAAGAGATTTCTTGTTGGGAATTGAGATTTACCAAGAACCCCAGGCTGCATCTGGCCCCGCACCGGGTTTTTGGTCGGTACCCATATAGACAAACATCCTCGGGCCGTTCAACAGTAGAGTACATTTAGTTAGATCAAGTAACGGGAACTAGAGTGTTGCCTCTCAGAAGCTAACCAAGAGATTCCACAACCTCCAACTTCGCCTACCCTACCAATAGCAAATTATCTGACGAACAAAGCCAAGCCAGCACCTAAGAATTAAACCAGTTGACTTAAGATACCATACTTGCTTAAGAAACATAGAAGTGTCACAATCCATAGAAAACGGGATTGGAGGAAAACACACTCCTGTATATAACGGATAAAGTTAATTTGTTATTTCTTAACATATTTGAACCTCTTGGGTTTTTCTTTTAGTTGCTTCTTTTTCTTCACACTTGTGCAATATCACCTTCAGTCTGGACTCAACTTGCACTATGGCCAGACACCTGATCGATCTTGTCTATCTAAGATCAAAATCACAACATGGGTAGGTTAGACTTGAGATTGAAGCAGTTACTTCAGTAACCGTTCTGATATTGATAAGAACACCAAAAAGCCAACACCATTGCTAAAGAGCTCAAGGTTTCAAAGCATACTATCGGAAGACTAACTTTCCATGGTTAAATGTAATTAGCAGAAATGCCCAACAAATAGAATTGGCAAAGTTTTCAATAAAAATAACAAAAGAAAAGAACAGGGCAAAAATAATACTAAACAAACAATTTATGCAAGGCAAAGCAACAGTCATAAGGCAAAAAGTTCACAAACTAAGAATGGTGTTAACACACAAAAGGGATACAGACAAATGATCACAGCATTCTGACTTCAAGACAAGAAAGAATAAAAATATAGCAGATGAGAGTGAGTAGTTGTCTATCTTATTGGCCAGAAAGAAATCCCAGCATGCCTCTGTACAGTTTTGTCTTTAAAACTTGGAGAGGAAAATTTTTTTGCAGTCATTCATATATGGATGGGAAGCAATCGTTTAATGATTATATTCAAATAAATTTAACTAATTTATTTTAGATGTTGAGATAAGAAAGAATTCTTTTTCTGTGGCACGTCTCTTCAGGACATGTGTAAGGTTCAACATTCTAATAGGTTCATTTGACAATGTGGAAGTGAGTGAGCTGGTCGGCATAGACATCTTAAATGAAGTAAGCAAACTGGTTGACAAAGATGAGAACAGCCTATACTAAGATAATGGGCCAATCCTGATTACAAAGAGCAGCAAATGATTGAACAATTAAGGAAACTAAAGAGTGGTATACCTGGACGTCAAGTTGGACCTAGGATTGGGATACAAGGCTGTACAGGAAGCTAAAATGCCACCTATGCTAACCACCTGCAAAAATGTAATCCAACCAATTCATAGAGGGATAGATTGTCAACAAACTCATCAAACATTAACATCTTTGAGGTAATTTCCTCAAAGATTTCAATGTTTGATGAATACACACTCAAGTAGGAAAAAAATGACATTAGAAAAAGAAAAGAACAGAGTAAAAATAATACTGAGCAAACAATATATGCAAGGCAAAGCAACAGTCGTAAGACAAACAACCTCATTCAGTAACTATGCCTTGAGTGGCTCTTGGCTTTGTATAAGTAAAAAAAAATGCTGAGGAATACAAAATAGTGCTAAGAAAGGAGAGGTATGAGGCAATGCTGGTATAGAAAGGAAAAAAAGAAACAAAAAAAGAAACAAAAAAAGAGAAGGAAGCTCATCTGGTTCACAAAGCTGTTTAATATGTCAGGAAAAACCAGGATTGGAAAAATATTTTTCAAATTGTTGAAGAATTACTTCGCGAAGGAATTGGAATTGCCAAGGATCTTTACTACGAACAGAGTAAAAATAAGTTAAAGCTGTATGCTCAAAACAGAAAGCTATTATACAGAAGAGAGAATGAATAGCAAAAATGTAACTGTAGAGAACCAGACAAAGGTCCTCTTAAAAGAAATTATCAGGTTCAAAGTGTGGTATATCAGGAAACATTGAAGAGTGATGGATGTAATGTGTGTGTGTGTGTGTGTGTGTGTGTGTATATTACTGAATCTACAGAAGGGCCATTTAAAAATAGGTTTTATAATCATAAAATCTCAATAGAGACAGGTACAAAATGAGCACAGCACTTTCAAAGTATATTTGGGAACTAAAAGAAAAGACCATGGAGTGAATAGTGAGTGACATGGGAAAGGCTCAAGAAAATGGTAAGCTATGGAAAAGGATCAAAGTTTGGCAGTTTATGCCTGGAAGAGAAATTAGCAATAATTATGTATAAGAACACCGGGAATTTGCTAAAAAACAGTATCTGAGGTTATGACAAAATGGTAGCTTTATAAGGTTGCTGTCTTTTTAACACACACACACAAAAATTGTGTATATTGGCAGCAATCCCTCTTTTATACAAGATTCATTAAAGATAATTTACAAGGTACTGCAATTAAGCTTTTCATTTAATTTTCCTTGTGTTCATATAAGTGTTTTCTTTTCTGTAGAAATTGTTTAAATGTTCTGCATATCTGAGAACTTTCGGCTATTCTTTTAGCTATTATTCAAGATGATTTTTATTTTTAACTGAATGCATGGATATTTTTTTATGCATGTATCTAGAGTTACAGGAATTTTTCATTTTCCAAACATGGTCAGCACATTGTGGCCATGATCATAGTTGATGTTATTGAGTGTTGGTTCCAATCTAGAATAGGAATGATTACAAAATACTTTCCCATCCCCAATTTATAGGCAGAAGTACACAAACGCATGCTGGGATTTCTTCCTCGCGAATAAAATAGACCAGTTCTCGGTTTCATATGACTCAATTCCAGTCTGTCTTGAAGTCAGAATGCTATGTTGGCTTATCCAAAGTTGCACTTGTGTGTCAACCCCAATTCTTAGTTTGTGAACTTTTTGCCTTATTACTGTTAATTTGCTTTGTATATATTGTTTGATTGCTTTATATTATTTCTTGCCTGGTTTTCTTTTTTTTCTTGTTGCTTATTGCAAACTTTGTCAATTCTGTTTGTTGGGCAATTCTGTCATCTATTTACATTTAACCATAACCACTCACTCTACAGTTGACTTTTTCTTTTTTATTATTATTAATGCTTCCATTATTTTCATCATTTAAACACATACAGAAACTGACCAAACCCCATCTGCAACATGCTTGTAGAAATTACAAGGACAATAGTCTCATCAACATGTAAATAAAGACTAGAACTTGTATGTGGTTAAAAAAAAAAAAAAAAAAAAAAAAAACTTAGTTTTAATTATTATACAATACTTTGATAAAAAAAAAAATTTCAACAGTAAAATTGCTAAATCTTTGATTTTTATTGAAAAAGTCTGAGGAAAATGTGCACATGAATTCTCCAAACACATTAGCTGGACTGATGAAATACTTCTTAAAAATTAATAACATTACAACACAATATCAAAAATTAAAGACTGTTTATAAATCTTTCTAAAGAGTCTTTATAGTTTTATTAAGTGTTAATTTAAAGAAAAAAATGTCAGGAGTTTTGAACTTACTCAAGGAGCAGAAATAATCCTGGTGGTGTGAAATTCAGTGTAAGTCCTTCTTTTAGCAAAGCCAACAAAGATTGCTTTGAATCCAGCAATTGTTGCATAGATGTCTGCTGTACATATGCATAGAAAAACTGCAACATATTCACTTCAAGAGGAACAGACTTCTGGGAAAAAGAAAAAACAAAAAAAGAATTATGACAACAGGATGTAGAAACAAAAGAACTTTTCACAATTATTGAAATGCAAAATTATTGAAATTTTCAATAAACATATATATAGACTACATCAAATCACTACATGAATAGGGTTTTATAACACCCCAACACATGTTGAGTAATTTAATGTGGAGTTTTTTTATTATTATTATTATTATACCCAGGTCTTCGGGCAGACATCGCTCGCATTTATACCCAGGTCTTCGGGCAGACATCAGTTGCATTTATACCCAGGTCTTCAGGGAGACATCAGTTGCATTTATACCCAGGTCTTCAAGTAGACATCGGTCACATTTATAGCTGCATCTCTAGATAGATGACCATCAGGTTTATACACGGGTCTCTAGATAAACACTGCTTAGTTTTATACTCGAGTCTGCAAGCATGCACCTGGAAAGTGTGTGTTGCTGTTTTTTTTTGTTTTTTTAAATCAGTGGGAGATTCTTACCCTTTGAAAGGGATGTAGTCAGTATATTCTCCGCTCTACTGAAGGGGAATACATAAATGAGAACAGAAAAGTTCATAGACTGACTATGAACTTTTCACCCCACCGCCATAGTGAGAAGACAATAGTTATAGAATTTTATAATTCTATATCTCCAGAAAAATTGCCAGTGTTTGATCAAGTGTTTGTTTTATTTTACGGCATATCAACCTCAATGGGTTATTTAATGCGGACAAGATTTTTATTGCTGGTAATATTTTTTTTCAAATGCATTGCTGGTAAAAAATTTTTTCTTCAAAAATGTATCGCTTGTAATATCTTTTCAAAAATGTATTGCTGGTAATAACTTTTTTTACAAAGTATTTCAGGTATTAAAATCTATTTTTACACTTTCACAGTGTTTTGTCCCCAGTTTGGGGGTTAACTATTTGCCCATTGCTGGGACCCTAACAGGTGGTACCGCCTCAGGTCAGAGTGGACCTGAGAACACAATTAAGAGGTGGTTCCACACTCCTCAAAACCTCCTGATCAGAGACCTTGCTGTTGGACGTAGTTTATCATCTTACCCAGGACACGGATAAAAATTGCCAGAGGGTTGAGAGACAAAATTTTTAAAATAATTACTGAGCTTACCTTGCCCCGACCAAGATCATTAGGAGGTGGTTGCTTGAGGACTTGTTTCACTGTCTGCACAAGGGTGTCTGTGGGCAATACTCTAATTGCATCAACTAACTGTACAAGCAGCAGCTGATCTTCACATGGAGTTGGAATCACCTAAAATACAAATAGATAATATTATATAAACACTATGACAAATAGTACAATATTACCATTATCTATGCAATACTAAAACTCTAATCTTGTATATATGTATGTGTGTTCCTGAGATACAGCTTAAACAATACATAATACCCCAACCAATTTAGGAGAATACTGTACCTTGAAACACTTCCAAGTGCAATGCTAAATTTCATTAAAATTAGACAAGGGGTTCTGTTCTTTAGCTAGGGCTGTTTTTCTGTTTTTATGGTATTTTTAATAGGAAATGCAGTATTTGTTTTCAATACACAATTCTTATATCAATCAGAGTATATAAACAAACACTTGCATATTATATTTCAACTATTATGTCTGTGAAAAATAATAAACATTCATAATACATTCTAACAACATTATCAAATACATTTAAATATGCATAACATATAAATACAATTCTCTACATTGGCACTTTTTTATATAAACAACTACATGAATGGTGAAGAGGCTATGTGTGTCACATTTTTTGATGGAAAGAGGGCTTTGAAAATTTGATACTCACAGGCCAGATTGAAGGTAAGAGAGACAAAGCAAAAATCACATAACCTATCTAGCAAGATTGAGTAAATGGATGACAGAGATAGGTTTAGGAGAGCCAACAAAAAGAGAAAATTTATTAAGAGCTACAAAGGACAGGAAATTGTGGAGAGGCATGATCACCTACATTCTGAAGGGACACAGCACATAAAAGAAAGCATTTTGAATTTATATCAATCCTTGTACAACAAAGCTTGCATTTTTTTGGTTTTGGCTTCACTTACTTCTTTTAAAAAGCAAAAAAATGCAATTAGATTGAGAAAATGCTTTTAATACAGTACAACAAGGTTCATAATTTTATTAAAGAGAGATAACTTTGTTGAATGTGCGAGTGCTGTAACCATTATTGTCAGAAGATGACATCAGATCGAGTTAAAATTCCAGTCAAGGTTGATATGTTGATGCTGCACCAATGTAGGAATTCATCTCTTCTCCTGGGTAAAATAGTAGGGTAAGCTTTGATTGGTAACCAGCTGAACAGAATAACATCTCTGAATTCAAAGAATAACATCTCTGAATTCAAAAACCATTGAGAAAGTAATGGGCAAAGACTATCTCTCCCAAGAACAATAGTTTTCAGATGTTTTTTTTTTACTATATTCAAGAGCCACTCAATGTAGAGGATTACTGAATGTAGTTGTTGTATTAACATGAGGAGGAGGAGGTAAGAAGAGCAGATCATGAGGACATAGAGGAAAGATAAGAATTGACCCAAGACTCGCAGAGGTTAATTTGAAAAATTCTTTTGCTGAATAATAAGATTAACAATTTACCTTTTTGTGGTAACCAGGAATTTTCTTTCTTCGATCATTCCAAGCTACAGCCACTGACCCTAAAAGATTGACTCCATGAGGAACTGCAATGGGACTCAGAAACTCCAAGATATATGAACGTACAACCTGAAATGCAGAAAAGATTCTATGTATAGAATCAATATATAAAAGATATTCATCAAATAGGTATTAAAACTGCTAATTATGTAAGCATTTTTTATGAATTTTCTATACATTAATGCATTTGAAATGTTTAATATTTAGCATAATAGGAGTAGATAGGTTTGCCTATCGTCCTGTTCACACTCCTCCCTGTTCTTTTGATTAGGAGTCGAGATTTATCCCGTGTTTCCTGTTTAGGATTCTGGTTCCTTCTAAAGTCTTTCTCTTTTACTTCCACTAATCTCTTGTGTCTTTGTGGCATTATTGCTTTAGTTGGTGTGAAATGTTAGAAAAAAAAAAAATTTTACCAATTCCACACAAAATGGAAATGAAAACATTGAAATGAGAGAAAAAAGAAAAATGTATTATTACCTTGGGGGCACCAATAATCCAGTTGTGATGGATGCCGACAGTCTCTTCTTCAGACTTGGCAATTGCTTTCCACAGTGTCAGCATACAAGCAATGATACGAGGAAGAATACTGAGCAAGACTCTGCGAGCTTCCAAAAGTGGAGCCAATGACGCAGCATCTCTCTGAGGGCTGGTCTCCTATAAAAAATGATACAATGATAGACATCATGTATTTGAACAGATATAATCTGTACCTGACAGTCAGGTAATACAAAAAGTTTTCAAGCTTTTTTTTTTTTTTCTTAGTCCTTTTTATTTGATATCATTATTTGGAAGTAGTTTGAAAATCAAATTATAGTTTTAAAATTTCCCTATATTGTTTGGTTTTATATAAAAGAAAACTGGAGAAATTTTCTAAAATAAATTCTCAGTTGACTAAAAACATCACCTGCGAGATCAGTCAGTTATGTGCCATGCGTGAATCAGGCTTAAGCGATCATGTATCTTTCGATACATGACTGATGAGGCAAATTTTTTTCCCCTGCAGGAGGTTGCCATTTCTTTCTGCAGTAGACCAGTTGCTACCCAAGGCTATAGAACCTGCTATTTACCCATAGCTGAGGGGATAAGAGGAGGATTTATACCTTTCCCAACAGTTTAGCACATAAGTGAATGTAATGGATTCGACTGGAATTTGAACTCAGCTCTTCGATTCATCAATCCGAGCTGCTATCCATTACTCCACTGTGCCAGTGAGATATATCAGATTAAAACACAAGTTTATTAATAAAAATATAAATATTACTCTGTTTGTATTGCTTTTCCTAAAGACTGTATAGTAAGAGAGAGATTAAAAAAAAATTTAAAAGCCATGCCCCTTTAAGACATGGATGATCATGGCTCTCCATATCTTCCTTCTTTTATCATCTATGAATTATTATGCAGGGAGTGGTATGCTTTCACATTGCTTTCTACATGCTTTGGAATTGGAAATTTTCCTTCATTATCATCATCATTTGACTTCCCTATGGTTGGTCGGAACTCCATTGACAATCCCTTTCCACACTGTTTGGTCTTGCATGGCTGTCCCCCAGATCTCCAGTGTCCAACTCTGAGTCCTGAACTATGGTGTCTGGGAAAGTTTATTTTTGTGAGAAGACACTTCCAGAAGGATGCCATAGAAGTAAGGATGAGATGATTATCCTGTCCACTTGGTGGCAGTGGCCGGCAAACTCTAATCGTTTTTGTTTGAGCTTAAGAGAGATTGGTCTCAGTTCTCTGTAAATTGTCTTAAGCGTTCCTTCTCTTAGACTGGTTATCCCTCACAGCTAGAGAGCTCAGTCTACCCTGCTACTTAAAGTAGAGTTCCAGGAAGAAAAGACAGATCCATGCCTTCTCCATATGTGCAATAAACTAGCCTAGAATTTGAACTCAGCTGCGGCCATTCAGAAATATTTTCCTCTTACAGGTTACCAACTAAAAGTAATACATAATCTATTATAATACACTGGTTAGCAAACTGAGAGCTCCACTACTGCAACCTTGTGCCAGGCCAAGTTTAATGAAAGTAAAATCTATACATAATATAATTAATATGCTTACATTTTTTATACTCATGTTCACCCAGTACAAGGCACAGGAGCAACCCTCTTACCCAACTAACAGCCTTGCGCTACACTAAATTTAGCAAAAACTTATATAATGATAATTTTTGTCTGAATTTCTGAAATGAGGAGTTATCATTACACATAGACTATTGTCCTCATCTTCATTGTTATTATTACAATGTTTCAGCCACTCTGCCCTCCAGGCTTCATCAGGTGTATGCCAACTCAGGTAACCTACAGAGAATTTCAAAATGAACTCTTTATTTAACATACAGGAGAATATTGTTCTCATTCCACTGCCCATGTCCAGGTATATCTACAGGGAAATCTCTGTAGGTTACTCAGATCAACATGCACCTGATGAAGGCAGGAGTGCACAACAGCCGAAAATTTGGGATAACAACAAAGATGAGGACAATAGTCTGCTTGTAAATAAAAGAAATATATGACACCCTGATGATTAACAACCATATTAGGTGTCCCACTTCTCTAACCTAGTGCAAGATTGAGCTAAGGTTTATAAAAAGATTATATAAAATAGCTACCTGATGGTTAGTAAACCAATCTGGCTGACAAATACAAATGGCAGTATGGTAAGTTCAATTCTGACTGGAGCATCCCCTATTCTGGTATTGTACCAACTCAACTGCCTAAGGGAGACTGATATAGTTATATTCCTCCTTGACACTCCCAGGGATCAGTATATGAGCCAAGGTCTAAGGCAGATCTTTGAATGTTCATTTTTAAAGCATAAACTAGTGATGTTCCATCATCACAGAATGGACCCTGAATTTTCCCCAATATCAATAAATGGATGTTGTCAGGGAGACTCTGTACCTTGAGCGCCTAATGGGACTCAGACTAAACCTCAAATGGAACTCATACACATGATCCATTGCTAAATATACTGGAAAAATGGTTGGTTTTCTGTACCGCTCCAGTAAGTACCTGACTCCTCCTGCTCTCCTCTGCCTTTACAGGAGCCAGATTAAGCTGAAAACTGAGTATTGTTGCCCAGTCTTCACTTTCCAGTCTTGATAGAGTCCAAAAGCATTTCTGCGTCCTTGCGGATGAAAATTATTTTCCCACAGACAAAACATTACAAGCCTCTCACTGCTCTATTGCTATTTCCATGGAAAGTGTTCAGATGAATGACATTCCTTAGTCCCACAAGTTCTAATCTTCATGGCTAAGACCAACTGTGCTATGCACATTGTAGTGAATTATTCTCTTCATATTTCATTGGTGAGATGTAAGTTCCACGTAAGCAGCTTTATCTCACAAACCACTACAATCTTAACCTGCTCAAGTCTAGGATTAAAATCATTATCTTCCACACATATAACCATAAATAGTGCCTCTTACTCTGTAACCCTTTACCTCAAGTGGTTCTTGGGCATTGTACAGAGTGAACAACATGGTTATAAAAAAAAAAAATTACAATAGATTCTCTCTACTTAAAATATTGGAGCTACATAATCTTCTATTTTGCTTTGTAGCAGGCAAAGATTATTCAATAATCTAGTAAATGGCATTCACAGTTGCATTAAAGCTTAAACATGCAGAAGCAATGAAAACAGAATGGCAATAATATACTCAGCCATTCTTAATTCTTTTTTCTTTTATGGCTTATAAACCTTTTGCAGGTTATTTAAAGTCAGAAAATATTTTTAGACTGTATGAATTTTTTGGAGATGATAATGATGCACTGATAAGTCCTACGAGTTAACCCATACCTGGGGGGGGGAAGCGGTGGATTCATACATTTCTGAAGGTTATTTGCAAGTAAGTGAATATAACAAACCCAACAGGAATTGGAACTCAGCTCTCTGATCTCCAATTCCAAGCTGTTATCCATTACACCACTCACACACCCAAGCTTACAAGCACCTGGTATTTCCCAAGTGGTCATCCATCAAGGTACTGATTTTATATATATATATATATATATATATATATATATGTGTGTGTGGGTGGAGGGGGGAATGTATGACAAAGTGGAAAAAGTTTTTTTGTGACGTGTTTCGTCCTTTAGGACTTCAGACTAATATGTTACATTGGATTAAGCCCCAAAAACGAAACATAACTAGAAAACTTTTTACAATTTGTCATAAATTTTCCGCATTATTGTTCCTGACATATAAAAATATATATCATTATCTCATTATATATATATGTGTGTGTGTCAACCAGAAGTCCAGGGAACTTATATTAAAAAAAAATTCTTTATACTGTCTCCTTTAAAAAGGTATTTTGAAATCAGTGGAAATGAGGTGTTAATGTACTGCTCAAGAAAGGCAGCAGTAAAAGCTCACAGTTGCTTCATACATGGTGCACAAATAAACTGAACTTTTGGGTAGCACCTTGTGTATCATACATATATGACAATGTAGTGCAAATTATAATGTGTGTGTGTGTGTGTGTGTTTGCATACATTACATTTTATTTACTATACAAATAGAAACTACTATTTACACATTCACAAGTAACAAATGTCAAACAGAATATAATTTGATAATTATGATATAATAATGTAACAAAAAAAAAATTTTTCGATATAAATTTCAACATTTAAAAAATACTGAGGATAAATGAATGGAAAAAAAGAAACTTAAATTTAATTAATAAGGTTATATTTTAAAAAAATTTAAACAAATTCAGATCAATATTTCCAGGCTTATTACATATTTATTCCTCAAATTATAATAAAATTTCATTTATATTATTTATAAAAAATAAAATTACTATTTTATTGACATATCAATTTTGTATTTATCTAGGATTTTCTTTTCTTTTTTTTTTAAATACATGTTATATACAAAGTGGGTACTGAGAAAAATCCTCATGCTGACCCACTTTTCAAAATCAGAATTTCAATAACCAATTATCAGAATATTGATTTTGGAATGTGGATCAGGCTGAAAATTTTTCAGCTCCTCAGAACCTAAATCTTAAGAAAAGCTTTCAAAATTCTCAAAATCAAAATGACATTATTAACACTTGCCTATAAAATTAAAAACAAACCAGTTTTAGGAAATAGTTACAATGACTAATCGAGTCTTCATGGATATTTTGGAATAGCTGAGATTAGTTTTCTTTTAATAGAAAAGAAACTAAATTTCATATATTAGCAGTGTATAATATTTTTTTTTTTTTTTTAAATCTGTTATAGTAACAAAATGCTTGCCACTTCAATTTGCAACAAGTATGCATTGTGTTACCATAAGAGTTATTTTTCATTAAGTAATTAGACCAGGTTGACAGGCAAGTTTATTGTTATGAACAGAGAATCTAAGAAACAGAAATAGTTTCAATAATTTAATGAATAACCTATTTTTTAAATTTCTACTTGTTTATTTTTCTACTGATTACTTGAGAAATTTACTATCAGTAACACCAAGATGTTTTAAAATAAAATAAAATAAAAAACATGACACCTATTCCAAACACAATGTATCCACTAAAAATAATGTTTGAAATTATAAAAACAATGAATTAAAAATAAATCTATTAATTCTTTAGAACTTGCTTTGATTACAGTCTATGAAAATGAACAGATATGAGCTAGGATGTAGGTTCAATCCCTGCTGG